ATCTGTACAAACAGAGCTCATTCTCTTTTAATGACTGCACTGAACATCATCATATGGGTACACCATAATGTTTTTCTTCAATTCCTGATTGATGGAGCAACATTTAGAGTTCAGACTGCTTCTAATCTTAGGTTTGTACATGTGTCACTTCACAGTGGGAGGATCAATTACTAGAGCTGGAATTTTGCTAGGTCAATGAGCACGTACATTTGTAATTCTGCTAGACTGGTTGCACCAATTTATATTCCCACAGGCAATGTATGAGTGCCTGTTTCCTCACTCTTTGCCAACCCAGGTGTTATCAAAATGCCATCAAACTGATTCTATATTCCAGTACAAACTCTTTACTCATAAGTTAGCTGCATCATTATCCTCAAGCTCATCAGGTTCATATGACCGATATTTATGAAGTACCCACTCTGTGAAAAGGGGAAAGGTTGCCAAACAGAGAACAAAACACATCAATGAAATGAACGAGAGCTTCTGAAATTCAGCAGAGGGGAAGACTGATACCAACTCGGGTTCAACCTCCCTAGATTTCCCCAGGATGTAAGCTCTGACCTAGATCCTGAAGGACCTGCAGGCTTTGGACAGACAAAAGGAGTCCCAGAAGGGAGGTGAGGCCAAGCAGTGTGCTGGGACAGGAAAGCACAGGACATGGGCAGTGCAGACCAGTTTGAGGAGAGGAAGATGATGCTCAAGTGGCAGCTGGAGGAGCAACCGACACAGCCAGGCCTTAGTGTGGGAGGAATCAGTGGACAGAAGACTGAATTGAGAGGTAGAATTTCCACTTCTGGCATTAGCTTAAAAAAAACTGGTTTATTTAGGTAGGCTTCAGTTTCCTCACTTCTAAAACAGGGAGGTTAGTCTTGAAGCCAAACTTTCTATAGCTGCAGAACAGTGTGTTCAAAGTAAATCTTATGGTCAAGACTAATGTCGGCCAGGCAAGCAGAACTGTGTTGGTAGTGGGGAAAGGGCAGGAACTTGTCAGCCCCACATTCTAGTCACTCCAACCTAACAACCTGATGGAGCACCAAGAAACTCTTAGCATTATGCAAAGCGTAGTCTGAAAGCAAGGAGGCCTGGGTAGCTAAGGTCTCCTCCAGCTCTAAATACTATTTTAACTAAGTGTTAGACAATGCACCTGGACCTTCATTTCTTGTCTGCATGCCTACAGTTCCTGCATTCATTTAACATGCATCATTGAGTACCTACTGTATCTCAGGCACTGTTACAGGAGCTGGGGAGACAGGGGTTAGTTAGTTAACAGTACAAAGACTCTTCCCTCTGACGTTCCATTTGTTTCGAAGGGATAGAGAAAAAAACATGTCAGAGCACTGAGAGTTAAGAGGGAAAAGTGTCACGACTGCTCCACCCACCAAAACCCTACTCATCCTCATGTCAGGAGGCTTTCATTCAGCCTTTTCAGATTTTCATCCTCACACATTGTTCGTTCTCGTGTCTGAAATCCCGCAGCACTTTGGACCACACATAAGCTTTTGCCACTTGTTAATATTTCACTATATTGTGCTTATCTCACTCAGGCCTCTGGTGGGTACTATACCAATGTCGGAGAGCGACCACAGCACTGCGTACACAGTGCTGGTACACACTGACAGGCACACGGTACCTGCTGACTACTATGACAGCACTGCCATTTGAGAACCATAAATGTGTTCTGAAAACTTTCTTCCTTTTCCCAACACTACAGACCAGAATTTTCAAATAACAAAATTACATAAAAGAGCAGAATCAAATGAGCAAACTAATTTAAGAGAACACCAAATTGGATCTGGTAAGAAGTAATGATCTCCAGGTGGTCCAAGTGGGTGCAATAGAAGATAATCCTTAAAAAAAAAACATTAACTAGTCCAGGCCAAAACAATGGAGTGGAATCTAAGGGGAAAGAGCATGCGGGTAACCGTCTATGTCTGAGTGGACAGATGAGAATGTGCAGAAAAAAAGAGCAGACCCAGAGTCCCTGCCCCAGTAGGTCTCACAATCACTTCCTCCCTGGAATGGGTGTCTGGCCCTACGGCCGGGGGACTCTCCTGCCACCACCCACCCCAGCCTTCACACATCCCCAGGGAGCTCAATGCTCTGCTCCTGGCACTTACAGGCTTAAAAACAACAAGGGCACCTTTGCTACCATAAAGTTCCCTTCCCTCTTTTTATAGCAGACAAATATGTCTGTCAAAATTCTTTTTTCATGTCAAAAGGTCTGACAACCCCTACATGATATCAGTTGTACTTTTATTATCCAGAACTGAGAAAGCGCATAAACAAAAAGCTACTGTGACACAAATGTGCACAGTAGCACTACTCACAACAGCCAAGAGGTGGAGACAACCCGAATGTCCATCAACGATGAATGCATAAACAGAATGCGGCACATCCATACGTGGGAATATTATTCAGCCATACAAAGGAATGAAGTACTGCACATGCTACAATGTGGATGAACCTTGAAAACATGCTAAGTATAAAAAAGAAGCCAGACAAAGCAGGCCACATATTGGATGATTCCATTTATGTGAAATATCCAGACTAGGCAAATCCCAAGAGAAAGAAAACAGCTTAGTAGTTGCCAAAGCCTGGCAGGGGAAGGAGCAATGGGAAGTGACTGTTAGTGGGTACAGGGTGTCCTTTTGAAGAGATGAAAATGTTTTGGAGCTAGATAGTGGTGACAACTGTACAACGCGGTGAATGTATTACACTTAATACCACTGAACTACATATTTTGAAATGGTTAAAATAGTAAAATTTTATATTATGTCTATTTTATCACAATTTTAAAAAGCTACCGTGAATTCAATAAACTTTAAAATAAATTTATATCTTACCAATATCTAAAATGTGACTTGGAAAAGTGGAGCTATGAACACTAAAAAACAAAACCCTACATAGAGGTGAACAGTTACTACACAAACAATCCTTCGTGTGAATGCAGACACTCAGAATTCTTGCACAACTGTACCTACCAATAATGACGATGATAGCTAGTACCTATTAAACTAGGAACTGCTCTAAGTGCTCACTTAATCCTCTGCGATAATCAGCCTCCTTTTACACAAGATAATACAGACGCAGAGAGTTAAGTAACCCTTCCAAGACTAAACAGCCAGCAGGTGGCAGAGCCTAAGAATTTAAATCTGAAGCCCATCTCATTTCAGAATGTATCTTTGTTATCTTAGTCACAGAGCCATGCCTCCTCACTTGGGCCCACAAAGCCTCCTCGCTTGGGCCCAATCCATTCACTTTCACTAGTATCCGCCCCAAACATTATCATTCCACACAGAGAACCACTGACTCAGCCTCTGCGAGTGCAGCGCCTTCCACCCGGAGCACCCATGTCAAGTGCTATCACCATCATCGCCGCTGAAGCCTGCTGGGATGGAGGGAATGGGAACCAGGGCCTCCAGGGCTCTTGTACAATCTGCCTTACACTGTTCTTTCCACCCATATTCACACCTGCACACACTGAGGGATCATTTTCACCTGAGGACAGGAACAAAGAACTACTTTTATGCTCCAGCAAAACCAAAGGTATCTTGTACTCTGCTGGTGAACACCAAGGACTGCAAGCCTATGAACCACAAGACTGGGTCAGCGCAACCATTTTGTTTGGCCAGCTCAGCAGTTTCAAACACCAACAACATAACTTGAATGCCTTCCCCAGGGCACCCAATCCTGATGTGGCACGCTGCTGCTCGGTGTCTCGCGATCTGTGCTTCCAGGAGTGCAAGCTATCCTGACCTCGCCACTAACTGACTCACTCATTACTCCCAATTATTTTTCTTCCCGTCATTGTTCTTTCACATACAGCACACCAGGGCTGTAAACGATATCAAGAGAAATAAAAGGGCATAACTGATATATCATTTCACTTTTGGGGATTAAAAAAATTCTCTCTATAATTTCCAATGTGGAAATATTCCTAAAATTGAAACAACTTCAAATCACGGCATAACCAAAATTAATTTCTAGAACAAGGGTCTCTTCTCAGTGCTCGCACTTCTAAGCAGGAAGGGAGCCCTAGCAGAGTAGCTCATCCTGGCAAAGGGCCACTACTGGCAGTTCCAACCCTAGTGATTTCTGAGAAAATGTCAGGGACCTTTGTTTCAGGTTTACCTTTAAATTTCAGCAGCAAAACCAGACATTTAGTGTTTTGAGTTATTTCTGTTTAGCTTTGCTCAAGTTCAGGGAATAAGCACCAAAAATAGAAATGGAACGCACTGTGCCTGACCCTCACAAAACAAGGGGTGCCACTTGTATTCCAAAGCTTTAGCTTTCTGGATCAGCAGGAAGAGGACCAACGTGGTTGTATTAACATGTAAAAAGTCCACAAATGTGCCCTGCAAAACCAAAGCAGCACCCAGTATACTACAAAATAAGAATTGATTTAATATTCACAAACTTTGGCAAGATAATGGTCTTAATTTAGCATAAGGTGGAAGCATCATTACTTGTAGAAAAAAATTTCTTTACTAAGTCAAAGCCTGGAGTACAAATATTTACATCTAGTAAGAATCAAAATAGAAAGCTAAACAACTGTTAAATTAAAATACTCTAGACCAGCCATTTTCCACAAGTGACAACTTTAGCCCTAAGTTACTAAAAACTTATATGTAAATTTAATTTTTACTTTCGTAATCACACTTGAGAAGTATAAGGATCCATATTATTTAAAGAAGATTATGAAAGAATTCTTCTGTAAACAATGTGGGTTTCTGTGTCTGTTTTTTCTTCCCCCCAATGAAAACACATACCTATGCATCCCAGGTATACTGGAATCTCTTAAAGGGATCACTTGTACAAAGGCAAAATCCACACAGAAAGCAAATCACCTTTTCCCTTTCTCTCTGGTCTCTTTCGCTGCACATACCCAGACTAAACTCCAAGCTCATTTCAGTGTAGAAATATAGGCCACACAAGAAAGAAAGAAAATCATTTTTAGATGTAAACAGGAACAAATTAAAAGGTCATCCAATAATACTTACTGCTGGTTCAACTTGACTTCGATCTGCAATATCTATGTGGACAATTTCAACAGTTTTCCATATGTTTGGATCTAAACCGTGTACCTATAAATGATAAAGAAAAATGAAGCAAAACAAACTAGATTATTGTTAGGTAAAACTACTAACTTACATATAGAATCTTTATCTTGAGTCTGTCAGGGTACGTTACAGACAATTAAAAAAACCAAATTACTATTTCATTAAATTAGCTGTCTGAAATCTTGAGAGATCTAGAAATCTTTTGTTACCTTTTCAACCCCAAATAATAAGGGGGAGAGAGTTTGAGGATGTTGCCAAATGAACAAAAATTTGCCGATATTATTTTCTGGTAGTCCTTGGAGATGATTTATATAACAAAATCTATGTGACCTATGTTTAACCCAAATGATACCCAATGAAATCCTCGTAACCTATAAATCCTATATAAACATATGGTGACATTATAACTAGATTTCAAGATGCTGTATTCTGTGATCTAAAATCTCTCTAAAATTTGATTATCCTAAAGCTATTCAGTTTCAATATGATGTCAGCTCCTCTAAACTTCACGCTGTTCATTTATTTTCAAAACTCCATCTATGAACCAATTAAGAATTGTTTAAAAACTGCCAAAGACATGCCAACTTGAAAGCTGAAAATGGCAGATAACACACAGACTAAAACATACCAAATCATCTCATTGAGACCCCAAATTTTAGAGACTATGAAAAACTACATGAAATGTCAAATCATCACTTGAAAGAAAAATCAAATACTACAAATTCAAAACTATTAATTAGCATCAGTAACATAATAGAACATAGCAGGAATAGAATTTACCACAACCATTAATTTATTCTCCTCTAACAGTGTATCGTAAGGTTGGAATAGTAGTTCTCAACTAGAGAGTGCACCAGGAAACAGACTGCTGGGGCCAGCCCCAGAGATTCTGATTCAGTAGCTCTTGGGTGGGACCTGAATATTGCTGGCATTTCTAACAAGTCCACAGATAATGTATTACTGCGGCTGGTCCAGCAACAACACTTTTGAGGACCACTGGGCCAAGGGCATCAAACTATACCAGATGCCCTCCCAAGTTCTGTGGCAAACCTTACCAAAAGTTAATGATTACATTTGAGTTCTAATTGATATTCTTGAAACTTAGAGATAAATGTGCACCAACTTATAATTATGTAAGCTGGGAGGCTTGATAACATTTTTGTATATTATTAAAAGAACTTTCTCCCTTCTGCCTTCTGGCCATTTCTCTAATGTCACTATCCTAGCAAATGGAGTGGAGGTGACAATTAAAGCAATCAATTCTGCTATGTAGAGCAGCTCTGGTGAATGTTCTGAGATGAAAGCAATCTAATTAGCAAAACTAATACCTAAAATTGGGCTGGGGATTACTTGTGAATTTTGTTTACCCATGCTCTCCCAATCGGAGATAAAAGAGTTGCTGATGAAAAGAGCAACTCACCAAAGTCCACTCAAGTGTCAAGGCAAGGGGACTGACAGGGAAAGCCCGTTTGCTTTCTGGTTGCTTGCTTGCCTCACCTCAATTTGACACAGCTTGCTTGGTGTGGCCAGGCGTTAGTCCAACACAGGTGACATTACTTTGGTGATACAGCGAACTACATACAGTATTTCCATTTTCAGGGGCTTCTGCACTAAAAGTGCAGAGTTGAAACTTACATTTTCTACTGTTCCCAAGTCTGGTTTGTGCCATGTTTCAATTTTAATGAAGAAATCATCTTTCATATATTCATTCTGCAGAAAACACAACAGGAAAATGGCAGTGATCTTTCACCGGTTCTCTGGGGCTCAGGTCTGAGGGAGCCTTTCCCAGCATAAGCATCCATGCTTTGACTCTACAAGGAGACTGATCCTCAGGTGACACACGATCATTAGCTACCAATTTTTACAGACTTGTCAGGCAAACCAAATGTTGCATGCTTTTAAATAATTTAAACAATCCTACTTGCCATGCAGTGTACAGGGCTAATAAGGAAGCCGTGAGGTTTGGAGAGCCAATCTGGCATTCGAAGGAAGTAGTAAAAGCAAAATAAAATCAATAGGGAGATTCTGAGACAGAGTGGAGAAAGAGCCCATTAACACTGGGAACATGTGGTAGAGTGTGGGCTGGAACACAGAGCAGGGAGCCATGCAGTGATGGGCAGTTTTAATTAAAAAGCAAAGAATGGTTAAAAATAATTATTATGTAAAACGAAGTTTAAAGATGAAGAGTAATGGGACACAAAAATAATTTTACTCACCGTTACAACTGAGGCATAATGGAGAGGCAGGCAATAAAAGGGGAAAAATTTCAGAATATTAATTGGAGTTGAAACAATCTATCCCAATATATAACATCACAAAGACTAAACTACCTGAAAACACAAAACATTTAGTAGCTTACATCTGCAAAACATAGTTTCTATACAAGTGACACTGGAGGATACTTTAGATTATAAAGTACAAATAGTATGAAAAATAATCTAATTTTAAAATAATGTTAAAAAGAATAATGTCACAAAAGGAAAACATTGTAGGTTAATTTAGGAAATGACAAGCAGCTGTTTCAGAAGTCTGTATATTCTTCCTCTATTATGTGACAATAAAAGTACACCAAAAAGATACTTCTGAGTGTGGATCATCTTTAAGATTTCATTTGCTCATCGCTGGAGCCAGTACAGTCAGCAAGGACACCAATGTAGCTGTCATCTGGGAACAAACTTATGTCCTTCACAAAGGTGTCGGGGGAGGAGCCCAATGCAGCCTCTCCTCTGCTATCACTCAGGCAGTGACTATCCAAGAACCTGTAGAAGGCCTTGCTCAGTGTAACCCTTTTCAAAGGTGTGGGCACTGGGAGTCCCTCTCCTCATCCTCAAGGTGGAGGGTGAAATGGCTGCTGGAGACCAGGCTTACTTGTTCTACAGTAGGGGTATGCATTCCAGGCTTTCTCATGAAACACCAAGGAGCCCTCAGGAGCAATCATCCTCACGAATGCAGGAACTTTGCTGTGAGGAGAGAGATACTAGATATGTTTTCAACAGCACTATCAATTCTTTCTTTGTAGCTATCAAATTGCTTCCAAGAGTATTGTAATTGAAGGTGACCATGTTCTAAATTTGATGACTTTGTATTCAAGACCGTTATCAACAGTTTATTTCAATCCCAAAGTAATCAAGTGGAAAATTAATGTAAAAATAACAAAATGGTTAAGAATGTTTAAGTGTATAAGATTTTTGATTTTTTTTAATAGAAGCAATTCTTTCTTAGGGGCTTTAGATGTACTCCCATGATGTAAAATCTAAGCATTAACTGAAACTACTCAATCTGCTCATTTATACAACATAGAAGTTCTCTCCTGTAATTAGATGACATTATACTTTTTTAATTGCAAAAGCCCCAGAATAAGGGGATATCTCTGAATAAGACCTAAAAGACTCAAAGAAAAATGACAATGTGAAGGATCCATGTTGAAAATGAGAAAGTAAAGCTTATCCAAGTATAAAATTTAATAGGTGTGGATGTCACTCACTGCCTCACATATGGTCAGAGGAAGAGAAGGATTAAGTATGTGATAATATCTATGATGTTTGTGCAAATTCATAAGATAATCAAGGAGAATTCCAACATATAAATGGGTAAAGGACACCCACAGACCTATTACAATTAGAAAATGCTACTCCTTAAGAAACAAATGAAAAATTCAGTCTTACCAGTCTTCAAAGAAATGCAAATGAAATGACCATTTCTACTGATTGGAGCCTACTGTACAGAGAACAGTTTTACGTGCACAAGCTTTTCACACAGACTGGATTTAAATCCCAACATTACCACTTAGCTGTGTGACCTTGGGAGTAGTACTTTGCTTCTCCAAGCTTCCTCACGTGCTGAATGGAGTTCATATTACCTACTCTGCAGGGTTATTTGAGAGGATTAAATCAGATAGTATCTGTAATGTGTTTAGCACATTGCCCAGTATAATGGGAGCTCAAAAAATGGTAGTTACTGCTTTATAATTATAAGCTGACACGGAGCTGGTTACTTTCACATGTCTTTCTTCGTTTAAATCTTCCAAAAAATCTGTGAAATAAGCATTATTTCATCATTTCACATAACCAGCATTTAAATGGGTAAATAACTGTATATCAAAACTATGTCCTCAAACTTCAAGCTCTCTCTATATATTTTTTCAATATCACGGCTGCTTCTCTGAAAACTTTCAAGCACCAACTTAACTTCTTCAACTAAAAGAAAGAACTAAGGAAACTTGGGAGCCAGAAAGGACTTCTGACACTGTAATAAGATGGAGCAGTTGGCCAGAGCTATTCCTATGTTGAATTTTGCAGGCTAAATAAGATAGATGGTAAGGAACCCCATGCCAGTTGGAGAGCTATACAGCAATAGAACATGTAGTGTGGACAACCCTTTCATTCATCCCCTTTCAGTCACTGGGCCAACTGTATGAATGGGTACACAGTTTGGGGGTTCCACTATCCTGACAAATTAAGTCAATGGAAAAGAAAAGCTAAAGTATTCCTATAACAAGCAGCAGTACATGTGAGAGTCCAAGGACATAAAGAGATTTACATGTGCCTTCACATCCTTAAAAAATAATACTGAAAAAGGCCTAATTCTTTGAAAACTTATTCTTTTCAAATGGTGGGACAATTCATACAAACTTCAGAAATATGAAGCCAGGATAACTGAAAATAATAACAGTCAAAGAATATCTAGTAGTCCAAAAATTTTCTCATGTTGCTGAAGAACTAGAACCAAAATCCATTTATAAGTGGGTTAGGTCTAATACAAAATACATACAGGTAAAATTTATTTTTTTAAGAGACAGCATCTTGTTCTATTGCCCGGGCTCAAGTGCTGTGGTGTAGTCATAGCTCAATGAAACTTGGAACTCCTGGGCTCAAGGGATCCTTCTGCCTCAGCCTCCCGAGTAGCTAGGACTACAGGTGTGTACTACCATGCCCAGCTAATTTTATTTTTTTGGTAAAGATGGAGTCTGGCTATGTTGCCTAGGCTGGTCTCAAACTCCTGGGCTCAAGCGATCCTCCTGCCTCAGCTTCCCTAAGTGCTGGGAGTACAAGCGTGAGCCACTGCACCCAGGATATTTTTTCCACCACATGAACTCCAATAATTCATTATAGGTTTGAATAGTTAATGAAGTCCAAACTTTTGAGCTAGCTGTGTTTCGAATTTACTGGCTTTTAAAAAATATTTAACATTGAGAACATTAATAAATACATCTCCAAGGAATCTAAGTAAGTGACTAAACTTGGGGAAAATGCATAAATGGAGTAAATAAAATTAAATTTCTACTCTACTTTAAAAGAGGAATTTTCATTAATGGCAATTTTAATATATTCCTAACAAGGTAGTTCAAGTGTGTCACTTATATTTACCTTTTTTCCACCTTAGTTGTCACTTTAGTAAAATACAGGAAATTCCTATTTTGGAAGCTTAGAGAGCCTCCATGAAGGCACAATTATAATATTAACCAAAGTAACAAAATGGAGCATGGGCCTAGGCCTTCAAAAACAAACACAAAAAGGACAGTCCTCCTCTTGTTCTCCCAAATTATTCAAGAAGTGGTGTTCTCTCGCGATAAGCCAACGTTCAATGAATGGTGCTTACTTGTTTCAAGATAAACAGGTAAATGCATTTAGATTTCAGCTATTTGCAAGTGAGTTACCCACAGCGTAATACTCAAAAGCATGAAGGTTCTTTAAGAATACATAGCCCTTCTCCCACTCTGAATACACTTTAAGAATATTTAACTTCAGGGTAAAATTCAACAGAAGTTTTTTTATTCCATTGTGTTGAGAGGAGATAATATTAATATCTAATTTTAATGTAACAATAGTTGTGAGCCTGTTTTTGCTTCCAGGTAAGGCAACTCTGTCGTAGCAGTATAGAAAAACAAAGGCTTTATATGGTTTAAAAAATTCAGAATACATGGCCGTAATGTACACTGAACATCTGATCTAAGACATTCCTTTTTTTAAATCATATTCCTGAGATAAATAACACTGCTGCAAGTCATTTCAAACTACACTATCCACTTGAAATTTTAATGTCCTCCCATAAACAACATGAGCGAAACTACTTTTTTCCACCCTTCTTCCTTCTATGGATGAACATTTTGATGTTCATCAAAACGTAGAAATATACAGAGAAGAATCTGAAGACCAGATTAATTTACCGCAAATAAACTAATAATTCTTTCATTTTATAGTCAACTGAAATACACCTTAAAAACACTGGGAGGCCTTCTCTTCCCAGTTCTTCTTGAAGTCAGGAAAGGCTGAGCTGGGGGAGGGGGGGGAACATTGGGCACCTCAGTCATTCATGCATGCATTCATTCATTCATTCATTCACTCAAGTATTTACTGAATGTCCATTGTGCCAGAGGCTGTGTAAATAATGGTGAACACAAAGGGACGATTCCTACCCAGAGCTTAACTTCCAGGGAGGAAGGCAGAAAACAGACTGGTAAACAAAACCACAAAGAGAATCTCCTGCAGTGAAGTGAAATTAAGGAACATGGCACTGGGAAAGTGAGTAAGTGGGGCAAGGTGGTCGGGAAGCCTCTCTGTGGAAGTGACATTACAATGGCAATCTGAGGGTACAGAGGCAGGGAATAGCAAAGCAGGCACAGGGAACAGCATGACCACAGGTCCTAGAAAGCAAAAGGCTTGGCCTATTTGAGCCACGCTAAGGCCTCCAGCATGGCTAGACGGGGTAATGATCAAAGGAGTAGAGGGCAGCGAGATAAGGCTGACAAGGTGCAGAGGGGCAGACAGATACATGGGTCCTGCTTACAGGCCAAAGTTTAGATTTTATTTTTTGTATGATGGGAAGCTACTGAAGGCTTCAAGAAGGAAAATAAGACACCTGATTTGAGTTTTAAGATTATTCTGGCTTTGTGTAGAAAATTAATCTGAGTGGCCAAGAATGGATGGTGGCAAAAATTAACTCAAAATAGGTAAGAACTAAAACTATAAAATTCTTAGAAGAAAACACAGTTATAAATCTTTGTGATCCTGGACTGGGCAATGGTTTCTTAGATATGACACCAAAAACAAACAACAAAAGAAAAAAAACATAAATTGGACTTGATCAAAATTATGAACTTTTTAAGGTTTAAAAGACACTATCAAGAAAGTGAAAAGACAATTCACAGATTGGAGAAAAAATCTGCAAATTGCATATTTAATAAAGATCTAGTATCCAGAATACATAAAAAACTCTTACAACTCAACAATAAACTCAGTTAAAAATTCATCAAAGATTTGAGCAGAGATTTCTCCAAAGAAGATATACAAATGACCTAAAAGCATAAGAAAAAATGCTAACATTAATCATCAGGAAAAATGCAAATCAAAACCACAATGAGATACCACTTCACGCACACTTAGGATGGCTATAATCAAAAAGACAGATCATAATAAGTGTTAGTGAGGATGTACAGAAACTGGAACTCATACACCACTGGTGGGATTATAAAGTGGTATAGTTGCTTTGGAAAACAGTCTGAGAGTTCCTCAAAGAATTAAACATAAAGTTATCATACGACCCCAGCCAATTCCATTTACAGGAGTATATCTCCCCAAGAAAACTGAAAACATGTTTGCATAAAAAATTATACACAAATGTTCATTATTCTGATATTCTGATTATTCTGTTCACTATTCTGATATCTCATTATTTATAACAACCAAAAAGTAGAAACAACCCAGATGTCCAACAGCCAATGAACTGAGTAAACAAAATGTGGCATTTCCATACAATGGAATATAATTCAGCAATCAAATGGAAAGAAGTACTGATTATGCTGAGTAAAAGCAGCCAGTCACAAAAGGCCACATATTATATGGCTCCATTTATATAAAAAGCCAACAATAGGCACAGCTACAGAGAAAGAAAGCAAATCAGTGGTTGTGAGGAGTTGGGGGCAGTGACTGCTAATGGGAACAGCGTTTTTTAGGGGGGTGTT